ATTCTGACACCTGCATTGGACTAGAAATTGTTAAAAACACAAACGTGGGAACACATTCCAAAAGAACCTGGGTTTCTAGGACACCCAATTTACCCACCAGACGCAATCTGAGAGAAATTCAACTTGATACAGGAAAAATGAAATGATGACAGAAACAGAGCCCATGGTTTAGATCATCTCCATTCTACAAAATAAAGTCTTCCCTCTTGGTATGAAAATCCAGTCCTCACACCATCTGGACATGAAATTCCTTTTCCAACTTCACCTCTCAATGGGTTCTAACAAATGATCTGAGTTCCACCTGCCCCTCAGTGCTTACTGTTATCTTCCAACTTCTCCACTCTGCCATTGTGCAACTGGAGCCTCTCTTTCCAGAATGTCTTCCACCTCCTCCTCTTTTCCTTTATTATTCCTTCCCCACTTTGCACTAGGAAAATCCATGAGATACCACTTTGTTGGTTGGCCAACCCAACCTTTACCTTTCTTTTCCCAGCCATGGGAAGCCATATGACATCTGATTAAACAAAGGATTAAGTTGATGGCACAATACACAGTTCCTTTGTGATAGGCTGATTATGACCCACAAATATATCAGGCCCTAATCCCTAGAACCTTTAAATATTACTTTTTTGGGGGAAAGGTGCTTTTGAAGATTTTGTTAGGGATCTTAAAAAGGAGAGATTATTGTGGATTATCCAGGTGGTCCATGAATGCCATCACGAATGTCATGATAAGAGAGACCAGAAGGGGATTTGACACACACCCAGAGAAGAGAAAGTGATGTGAAGATGGAGACAGAGATTTGAATGATGTGGCCATAAGTCAAGGTATGTTGGCAGTCACCAGAAGGAGTGATTCTCCCCTCAGGCTTCCAAAAAGTGCAGCCCTCCCAACACATTGATTTAACTCAGAGATACACATCTGAGCCTTCTGGTGTCCAGAATTGTAAGAGAATAAATTTATATTGTGCTCAGCCACTCAGTTTGCAGAATTGGTGACAGCAGTCAAAGGAGACTAATATTATCCTTCATCCCGCCACCCCTTATCTTATTGCCCAGAACATGAGAAAAACATGATAAAGATAAACATGAGACCCAGAACAACAATCAAGAAAACAAAATCCATGATGATGAAAATGACAGAGAGAAAAAAGAACAAGTCCAGGATTCTCACAACATCCCTACAGGCATCAGCCTAGGACTCCTTATCTATAGGTTACTGGTTGTATAAAAGAAATGTATGTCCCATTAGCTTAACCCACAGCAATCCTATATGAAACAGGTCTCCTTGACCCGCTAACCAGCTTCACCTATCCTCTCTGCTCTCCACTAGCCCCTTCTTCCTCATATCACCCAAGCACACAGCCATGACTTGAAACTTTATACACAGTGTCTGCTTCACCTATAAAGCATGAGGTCCTTCAGGACAGTGACATTTATCTGTGTAGCCCCCGCATCTAGGCCAGTGCAGTCACATGCCAAGCAATCAGCAAATGTCTGTAAACAAATGCAGGAGGTCTTGCAAAGGACATTAGCCCTGGAAGGGGTACCATATGGCAGCCTTCCTGCTTATTACAGTGTCTTTATAACAGGCCCGACTTCACATTCTTAATGAGGAAGAATGCCATTTGCTTCAGGGACTTCGGACCTTTCGTGTAAGTAGTAAAAGGGCCATACATACCAAACACTTCGTCCAGTTCATTGCCTAATTTTTTCTGGACTTCTGGATAGCAACCCAGTAGGTACAAGGCCCAGTTTATTCCAGATGCAGTTGTGTCATGGCCCTACAAATGTGAGAGAAAAAAAAAACAACAGCTTAGAAAGCAGAGTTCTATTGAGAAGGTTAGAAATGCTAGCTCTATTTTGAATTGGCTCTGGATTTGACAGCTGTGATGTAACCCCAGACAGAACAAGTTAATTTTTATACAGTATTTTACCTCAGTGGGGAACACACCAATGGAACAATCCCTTCAAAGGGGATGCCTCTGGGTATAGGGACATTCAATACGACAGTCACATACTTGGTGAGAGGGGCTGGGCTGGGCTGACAGGAAGCATTCCGAGGGCACTCCGTGCGCTGGACTGTTTTTGAGGAAATAAAAGTGTGATTTTCCTGAGCCAAGTGACCAGATCTGCACTTGTCCACTGTCCCCCATTTGTATGGTCGACTACCTGGACACAAGGCAACACCAGGCAGCACATGGGTGGTTCTGAGCAATAGTCTCCACATCAAGAAGTTGATAAATACCCCATTTAAACCTTTCTGAGTTTGAGGCAAAATACCAAACATTTTGCAGAAACGAACTCAATTATTCTTCACAAAAAATCAATGGGAGCCTGGCCAGCGTGGCTTAGTGCTTGAGCATCAGCCTATGAACCAGGAGGTCAAGGTTTGATTCCGGGTCATGACACATGCAGGGTTTGTGGGCTCAATCCCCAGTTGGGGGCATGCAGGAGGCAGCCTATCAATGATTCTCTCTCATCATCGATGTTTCTGTCTCTCCCTCTCCCTTCAATGAAAATATATTTCTCTGAAATCAATAAAAATACATGTTTTAAAAAAATCTCCATGGGATGCTTTATACTGCTATGCACGTTTTAGAGATGACAAACTGAGCCCCAAATGATGCTTTCCCAGGGCCCGACAGCTTCATTGGAGGTGGAGACAAGAGTAGGACTCTTGGTGAAAGCGGTTTGGCTCAGTGGATAGAGCGTCAGCCTGCGGACTGAAAGGTTCCAGGTTCGATTCCGGTCAAGGGCATGTACCTTGGTTGCGGGCACATCCCCAGTAAGAGATGTGCAGGAGGCAGCTGATTGATGTTTCTCTCTCATCGATGTTTCTAATTCTCTATCTCTCTCCCTTCCTCTCTGTAAAAAATCAATAAAATATATTTAAAAGAAAAAGAGTAGGACTCTTGTAGTTTCTGATGACAAAGCTGAGTCCACACTCTTCACCTCGGCGGGCATGGAGGATCCAGGGTAAGGAGATTCCAGCTCCAATACTGATGGTGACACCCTGGGCAACCTTATTCTCTGTCCAGTCAGTGTCTTTAGGCATCAGCCCCTTATTTCCTGTCCTCATCTCACCAGGACACTCCACATGCAAAATGGTAAGTTCTTCAGAAAAAAAAAATGGATTTGAAAAATAATAAATGCCACAGTCTTTGGAGCAAGGGTTCAGGAATCTGGAGAAGGGATGATACACCAGAAAAGAAAGATAAATTTGGAAGGCATAAAGAACCAGGCAGAAACCCTTTTCTCGTGGAATGTGCTCACGGAATCTCCGGACCCAAGGCTTTTTATTCACACATTTTGTCCTTTAGCAAAGCAAACACACATATCAAAGGTAAGGTTTGGTAAACAATAAAGGATTATCAGCTTAGGCCCTCTGTGGGTCTCGACCCATTTGGTGGTCAAAAGACCCTTTCACAGGGGTCTCCTAAGACCATCCTGCATATCAGATATTTACCTTATGATTCATAACAGTAGCAACATTACAGTTATGAAGTAGCAACAAAAGTAATTTCATGGTTGGGTCCCTCCCTTTCTCTAGGAAGCATGCTTGATATTTCTTTGGTCTTCTGCAACCCAAGGGCTGAGCAGGGCAGTTGAGAACATGATATTGTGAACATCATTCATTGGGTTGCTAATGGCTTGTAACACACACACACACACATACACACACGCATATCATGAGGTGCTAGAAATACATTTTGACCTTTTAGATATAGTCCAAGGATCTCTTTATTTGTGTGACAGGTCAGTAGTTGGTCCAGTAACTGATGTTCCACAGTTGTCTGTGACAATGAACAGACCATCGATTCAGTAGTGCATCACCTGCAGAGATTTCTAGATGATAAATCCCTGGGTACCCAGTGGATGCTTGGGGCTTTTGCTGATTCCCAGGTAGTTTATATATTTCAAACTTACATTTTGTCTTTTAGTTGTATTTTTGAAATGGTTGTGCAAGGCAGCAATTTCAGGTGTTTACCTATGCCGCCATCTTGGTTTCTCAATTCCCCACAGCCCACTTTTTAGTGAATTAGATGTCTAATTGGAGGCATAATTTCTTTTCTATGAAGTGATCTGCTTAAAATAGAAGTTTCAAACCACTGATATAGTCCATATTTCCACTTTCCACAGGGGACTGTGGCAGAGATCTGCAATGACTGGGCCTGTCTTGTATGGTCAGTCAGCACAGACCTGGGAGAAGTCAGGTTTGTGGACTCTTCACACAGTTTGTTTCCTGCTACAGGGCACAGAGCTTCCTCCCTGGGGAGGCACTGCACCCAGGCGGCTGCAGGCAGAGAAAACACAGTGCATGCAGTCCGCCATTGAACACTGATGGCTTTCCCTCTCTTAAATATCCAAGATATTCCACAAGCTGCCTTTTAAAACCATTTCTTAATCTTTATTTGGTAAGCCACGTGTTAAGAGGTTTTCTCTTTATAATATTTAATGTAGTTAAAATTATCTTTTAAAAAATTTGTCTTTTTGCCCAGCTGGTATGGCTCAGCGTTTGAGTGTTGACCTATGAACCAGGAGGTCACAGTTCAATTCCTGGTCAGGGCACATGCAGGAGGAAGCCAATCAATGATTTTTCTCTCATCATTGATATTTCTATCTTATTCTTCTTTAAAAAAATCAATAAAATTATATATTTTTAAAATTTATCCCTTTTCTTGATGTGAAGACAAGAAATCCCTTTAGAATCACAAACTGATTAAATGCCTTACTAGAAAGAGCTGGGAAGATGGTGACTGGCAAGCCGGAGGTGAAGGAGAGAGTGTGATTGGGTGATGAAGTGACAGGGGAGTGTGTGGATGTGTGCAGTGTGTGTGTGAATGAGTGAGGGACAGTTAAATCCAGCAGGAGGACCAGAGGCTGGCAGACCAGGCTCTCCTGGACAGGCCACCCCTATCACCGCTGCGGCCACTCCCGGGCTGTGGGGCTCAAGAAGGGAGCCCATGCCATCTTGAAGGGGAGAGAAGCCTCCTCTAGAAATTCATCAGCATCACCACCCAGACTGGCCGTGGACACTGTTCGTGACCCTGAAGCCACACCAGCCAAAGTTCTACTGCCTCACCTGCAGACCCGCAGACCCTAGGACATCTACCTCCAAGGGTGCACAGATCCCACAGCAGTAAGTGGGACTTCCCCCTCACTGACTGCTGACCTCTGGACACTGCAGTCACGCTGAACCAGTGCTCGGGCACCCTGAGTCAGCCGCTCAGGCAGAGGCTTCTCCTGTGCCTCTGTGAGCCACTGCTGGGTACGCATTTATCCAAACAAGGATGCATGGCCCCGGTAGTAGAAACTCGGACTTCCCCATTCCTAGCTGACTGCCCACAGACACAGTGGTCATGTGGTTTCGGCACACAGGTCTCCTGAGTCCGCCACCCGAGCCGACAGCTCCCTGGTGCCTCTGTGAGCAGCTGCTGGGCGCACTCCTATCCAATCAAGGGCTGAAGATCTCAGTATCTCAGACGTCGCCCTCCTTGATTGCTGAATTCCGGTCACCTCAGTCACACCGATCAGGCGCACAGGCTCCCTGAGTCCACTGTCCCACAGGCGGCTCCCAGGTAACTCTCTGAGCCACCATAAGGCATGACCCTGGCTACCACAATCCAGTCCCTATGATAGGGCTGCTTCAGGACGCAGGCCCCCAGAGCCCACCGCCCCAGCATGTTACTCCTAGGTTGCTTTGTAAGCCACTGCTGGGTGCTTGTATCCAACCAAGGGTGCACAGCTCCAAAAGCAGAAACTGGGACTTCTCCCTCCCCCAGTCAGCAGCACACCATGATCGTGCAGCTCCCATGTGTGGGCCCCACAAGCACACAGCTCCAGCATATGGCTCCTGGGCCCCTCTGTGAGCTGCCATTGGGTTTGTGCCCCTCCAATGAAGGTCACATGGCTCCCTGAACAGGATCCTCGGCTGCCTATCTCTGGACACCTTGGTGAGTTACTGAGGACTCGCCTTGCCATACAAGGTCACATTAATTTGCCACAGACCCCCAGATTCCCACAACCACAGCTGCTGGCTCCAGAACACTCTTGTGATTCAGAGAGGGAAATCACTTTGGCCAGAGTCCCACTGCCTCAACTGCAGACTATAGGACAGCCGCTCCCCCCACCCCCACTGTCCCAGACTCTGGGAGCCTCATAGTGAGTTACAGAGACAATACCCCAGCAAGAGTCAGACAACACCAGCCAAAGTCACCATAGCTGAGCCTAAGGCCTGAAGACCCCTTCCTCCCAAGCCCATGCACTCTGGGAACTCACAGTGAGCACATAACAGTGAGACCTCAGGCAATCCTTTCCACAAGAACTGGAACCGCGATCACATCTACAACAGCTTGCACAATGAACCTGGGGTGAGTCACATTGCCCATCTGTGATGAGACTACATCCATGAAAAATAAGCTAACATTCAAGACCCAACTACATCAAGAGAATCCAAATAACACAAATAGGGGCTCCACTAGATCACCAAGCCTAGGAGATCTGAGAGACTGAACCACTGGGTTCCAAAAATCACCAACCACACCAAAACAACCTGGGTAGCAAAGCAGCTGGATCTAAGACATAGAAACAAGACATTTCAGCAAAAAGTGGGAAGACATAAAAACAATCCCCAAAGGAAAGAAAAAAAGAAATCACCACAAAAATAATGAAATGAGATGGAGGCAAGTAACTTGTCAGAGAAAGAATTCAGAGTAATGGTTATAAGGATGGTCAAATGTCTGGATGACAAATACACACAACTGAATGAGAATTATAAGAAGCTGAATAAGAATGCCACCAACATGAAAAGGAATCAAGAAGAAATGAGGAATGACCTAGCTGCAATAAAGAACATAAAGAAAGGCTTCAATAGCACACTTGAAGAGGCTGAGGACCACATCAGTGAATTAGAAGGTAGGGTAGGAAAAAACACACAAACACAGCAGCAACTGGAAAGAAAACTTACAAAGCAGGAGGAGAGTCTAAGGGAGCTTTGGGTCAACATGAAAGGAAACAACATCCACATAATAGAGAGTGGCAGAAAGACAGGAAGCGGAGCAAGTAATAGAAAACCAATTTGAAGAAATAATGACAGAAAACTTCCCTGATGTTGGGAAGAAAAAACTCACAGAAGTCCAAGAAGCTCAGAGTCCTAAACAAGATGAACCCAAAAAGACCAACACCAAGAAACATTATAATTAAATTGGTAAACATCAACGACAAAGTAAGAATCTTAAAGGCTTCCAGAGAGAGACAGAAAGTTACATATAAGGGATCTCCCATTAGACTATCTACTGATTTCTCAACAGAAACACACCAGGCCAGAAGGGAATGGAATGAAGTATACCAAGTGATGCAAAGCAAGGGACTGAATCCAAGAATACTCTATCCAGCAAGACTGTCATTCAA